TTCAGGACACCTTCATATGACCAAGATTTTGGTTGTTAGATGTGATTAAGACCAGAATCGTATAGTTGCTGACTACAATCGAGGTGATATCTGTGGAGGAAGTGAAACCGATCAGAAAAGTTTCTCTTAGGAGTCTTAGAGTGCTTTTTATTATGCTAACATGTCTCCTTGCTCCCTTCACTCGTGCTCTAGCTCCTCCCAGCAAGTGAGTGAGAGAGAGATGTGAAAAGAGAGGTGTAGGATACATCTGTGTTTCCTCACTTTAAGCTTTAAAGAAGCATGAGTTAGGACATCAAAAACAACCTTACTCACATTGGGCTCATGTCTATAGTGAATTAAACAGTGAAAATAAACTACTCCCTATTTTTCTGGGGACCCCCTGGAACTCCCTCAAGGACCCCATGGGTTCCCTGGAAACCTGACTACTGACGTAGGGAATAATGAATAAGTAAAATAGACGTGCTCCTCCAGCTGTGACATGTCTGTGAAAACATACAGAACATGAAGCAGAAATGCATAAAAAGTCACATTAGAGAAGATAAAAACAAGATGAAAATATAAAAATGCAATATATGCCTATAGTTGTAAAGTATATAGACTAAAGCCTCCTGAGAGTTCCCTGGCTTATCTTCCATTTTTCCTAAAGGCTTAATTTAGACATGGATCTGTGAGTACTTTTACTGATGCTTCAATTGCTTCCCACCAAGGTTATTATAGTAAATCAAATTTAAACTAAAAAAACTAATTTAGTTGTTTAAAAAAATTGTTGACTGCAGTAAAAATTAAAAAATAGACTTAAGAAATAAAGAAAAAAACAAAAACTAACTAAAACTAAAAATACTGTGTACTAACAAAACTAATTGAAACAAAATAAAAATCTACACTAAATGTCTTTAGTTAGAAACTTTGGCAATTTTGTCAAATTTGTCAGCACAACAAGCATGATGATGTGTTGGTGTATGTGTTTGTTGAGACTGGAATGTGCATGACTGTGAGTCAGCTGCCTTCACAAAGTGTTGTGGTTGTAATGTAATGCCTATTGTGAACGTCTTAAATCTTGCCCCTGACAAACACCCTGCAAAATATATAAAACAAAGAAACAAACAAATAAACAAACAAAAAAAACTAAAACTAATACTGAAACTAATAAAAACTAAACTAAAACTGAACATTTTCAAATATTAAAAATTAAACTGAACGAGCAAACTGAAAAATATAAAAGTATAGCAACTCTGCATCTTTTAATTAAGACTTGACTTGAACGAACACTGGTTTTAGTCAAGTCTTGATTAAGTTGAAATACATATACTTTACCTACAAATAACTGTATATTTACCACCCAGTCTTAATTGGGACAAATCATGTCCTACCCAAAAGTATCCCATAAAATTATAACTTATCAACACACTAATTCTGTTTCTAGGATACAACATTATTTTTTAGATTTATATATTAGAATTTATATTTAGATTTATATATATGTGTGTTTCTTTTCTGTGCCAGAATTCAAAACTTCAAATATTTAAAAGGTGTGTTAAAAGCTTTCAGAATCTAAGACTAACAGTATGTACTGATAAAATCATTGTTAAAATGTACTTACATAGTCATCTCTGTTTTAAAATATATTTTTTGTGATGATGTTGGCCTTTTTAAAGATGTATCCCAGATTTGTCAACTCAGATTTCTGTAAAAACTTAATTAAATCAGACATAAAAGGGGTTTGCTTTAACAAAAGGAGTCCTGTCTTACTTCCTGGTTTCCAAAAAGATGGGGATGCTGCTCAAGTACTGATTAGTTTTCTAGTTTTTGATGCTAGGAAATTAAATGAAAATACAACTTTCATCAGCTCGGTAAGACGTCAAATCCATCAGATCTTACCGCTGACATCCATCAGGAATGCTATTTAAGAAAGATTCACTGGGAGCTTGGTCCATTACAAGGTTTCATAGTCAAGACTGTGAGTTTTTTAAAAACAGATTTTCATAGCCTAATCGAAGAGTAAAAATCAGAAACTCAAAAAAAAAAAGCTTTGTCCCAGTTCTCAAAAATGAGTGTTATCTGACATCGAACTAAGTCCAACATCTACGACTGGACTAAAGCAGCTGAGAGTAACATTTGTTTATTGTATAATTAAAGTATGTGAATTATTACTTGATGGCTTTCTATTGTCTGCACCATTTAACTTCATAATTCCTCTGCAGACTGCAGCAGCAACAACAACAGACTTTATCAGAGTGCCGTCTAACCCTCGGCCGTCAGGGGAGAAGTTTGCTATTTGGGTCACTGTCACGGCCCCGAGCCATACATGTAATTAGACTTGGGAAACTTCTCTCTCCACACATGGAAGTTTTTCTGGGAAACGGGCACGTTTGCAAACAGGAAGTTGACGACTAAATAAAGCCCCCCCTCCTAACCCTCCCCTGCCTCGCACAGGAAGCTCGCTCGGCCCTTTTAAACAGTTACACAGACGGGAACCTTGGAGAGGGAAGCTTTAAATAGGCGAAGCCGCGGCCCGGCTCGGCCCAGCTCAGCACCGCAGCGGTCTGGGCCCAGGCAGCCACGGGCCATCTAACAGTGACTGTCGCTGCCATTTTTACCCCGGTGAGGTCAGGCCTGTCCTGGGAGTCCACTCTGGCCACCAATGTGATAAGTCATTGGGCTTGGTACCACTGTGGTTTACTCAGTCCATACTTTGGTGTTTAAGTTAGTCCACTTTAGGTCTGCAGGGTCAGTTGAGTTTATTGACCAGTCATGTGGTCAGAAACAGGCTGTCTAAGCCCTACATTTTTGTTGCATTGGTTCTTTTTTATATTTTCATTTTACTCATATTTTTCATTCATGTATTTTTTCCAGTTTCAGCACATTCTCCTGCTGTTTTCCTCTTGTAAACCCGTCTCCATTCATCATTGTTCTCTTCGTCAGTGACATCAGGGTTGCCGAAGGTTACAGTGACTGGTGTACTCCTGGTTCATCTGCGGGTCTTCGTCTGTGTTAGTTTAGATGTTGTGTCTAACCCTACATCCCCTAAGGGGCTGTTGGGATTTTTTTCTCCCTTTTCACACAGGGTTTTTTTGCACCAGGGCCTTGCCACCCCTCCCTGTGCCCTCCATGCCACCCCTGACTAAGTCGAGGCCTGGCCGCCTCTGTGGTGGCGGTGATACCACAGCCTAAATGACAGGGCACTGAAGCTCTGCGTCCGCCTCGCCCTGCCGCCTCACCTGCAACACACTCACTAGTTTACACACTGCCACAGCACTCAGTTGTGTGTTTGTGTGTGTCTATGTGTGTATGTGTATAGTTAGAATAATGTTGCTAACACTATTACTAACTGGATGGTTTTACTGACAGTGGCCATTATGTGGATGTCTCAGTATCCTTATTTGAACACACTTGTCACGCTACTGACATGCCGCTCTCACGCTTGACATGCTCGTTGCTCACTGGCTGAAAACTAAGTGGTGTTTTTAAAACACGAGCGTAGCCAGTGTTTCAGCTTTGCTTTCTTGCCAAATAGAGAAAAGGCTAAAGTGGGATTTGATGATGCAGGTCATCTGTGAATCTTTTATACCCTACTGCTCTGCGTTTAGTTGGAATTTTAAGAGACAATGAACCCTTTTTTCTGTCTAAATGACAAAGCTGCTAAATTGTTCATTTTACGACTGTGTTCCAGGATTTGATGTCCATGAGTGGAATTATGTCATTTGCAGGGTGGGGTTGAGTCGGGGGGGGAGTAGTTGTTTTGACTTTGTGTTGAGTTTATTGCATGTATTTAGATGTAATTGCTCGTCTTTACAAAATGATTCACACACTACCACAAAGTACAAAGTCTACAAGAGTGGTTTTGTTTAGCTCTTAGTATTTTCCTCTTTGGTTTTCAGTGTACCAGAGGAAGAATCCTCACTAAAACTATTGCTCATGGCTTTTGACGTAACAGGTTTTGCATCCACAGAGTCAAAGAGAGGTGTGCTTTTTATAAGGATTTGCACTGCTAAAAGTGTCCTCAGAACTTTCTGTGTTTTGAAACATCACTCAATCACTTTCCAAACTTTCAGCAATTTATGTGTAATGATTTAACAGATGATGGTAGGTGATGATGCTTAATTTAAAGTAAGTCATTTAAATGCTACCACTCAAAAGTTATACATTATATGTGAAACAAATGTCAGGATTAGCTTCTTTGCTTTCTTTTAACAATTTTAAATTAAATGTCTGGAGGTTTCTTGGTAGGCTTGCTGCTGAAACACATAATCACAGTGTCACCAGTTTGATTCTGGTCAGGGACCTTCATTGCATGTCTTACTCCTCCTACCCTACTTTGGGTTTTTGACGGGTCAGATAGAACAACAAAAGTTGTCCATTGTGAGCTACTGTATAAACAACATGGTGGACTCTGTGAAAGAGGACCTGCTCGGTATGTAGATAAAAATAGCTCATTACAGTAAGGAAAACACAATAATTCCTAGTTTCAGGTGATTTTAAAATAATAAAAACATAATTATGATTAATTATATATTCAATTTCTGCCAATATACACCCCAAAATCCACACACACTGGACCTTTAATACAGCTGGTAAACATGGAGCTAATTTTAATTTGCTCTATATACTGCTGGGTGGTTTAACATGTAAAAATATATTTTTGCCTTTTTTTATTTACATTATTAATACAAAATATAAATAAACTGAATTCCTCATAACTTAAGCTTTTAAAATAAATGAAGTGGTTTAAAATGTGCAGTATTTTCTCCGAAATGTAATTCATTAGATGTTGAAATCTACTTTTCAGGTGGTGTTCAACCTTGCATGTCACATTTTTTTTGGCAGCAGTTATGTCATTTAAGTGTAACTGGTGACATTCAAGACTAATGTGGTGACATCCATCCAAGCAGGATGCTTTAAAGTCATGCATACATAACAAACAAAAACACATTCATGCACCTAAAAAGCACCTTGTCACAGTACAGTTGCTTATTCCTTCCCTGTCTGTCCCTCTGTTACAGGTGGAGGGGGTAGGCCTTTACTTCCGTCAGCAGCTCCTGCAGTCCCGTCATCGTGGCGCCTTTGAACTGGCTTATGTGGGCTTTGTGCGCCTCACCGACATGCTGTGCAGGTGTGTGTTAACATTCAGGGCAAAGGGCTGAAAGGTAATACTGCTGAATGGCTGAGGGCAATAGCTCTCATCATGACACTGAGTGTCAGTGTGCCTTGTAATTAGCAAGTAGGCAAGTTCTCTCAGTATCACTCTTCAGGTATAATATACTTAATTGCATCACGACTTGATAATTGGTGTCATTCATCATCTGGAGCCTTCTGGATGGCCAGCAGAGACGCACTGGCATTAACAAAATTAGCCTGCTGATTATAGAGAAGACAAGGTTTCAAATGTCATACAAATATGAAAAGTTGGTAACAGTGGATTCTGATCAGGGATGTCGATTGTTACATTAATTGGTTGACTGCCAAGGCTATTTTTGATCGGTTACACATGGTGGTCTATAAGTTAACTTTTCTATGTCCGCACTGCACTGCACACCAACTGGGTCTAGTGGGAGCTAGTTAGCGACACCCCTCATTCAGTGAATACTGCTACTAATGCAGGGATTCAAAAATGTTGCTGTGGAAACATTTTGCCCACCCTCAACTCTCCCAGGAAGCTCCAGTGATTTGGAGGCTCAATTTTGAGCCTTAGACCTCATTTAGCATCACTGTTAACGTTGTTAGCAGTGTATGCACTGCTAGTGGTGCTACTGCTAACATAGTCAGCAACGCTAAAGGGGTTCTGCAGCTCAAAATTAAGCCCCTTAGTCACTGGAGCTACCTAGAGAGAGCCTGGAGGGTGGCTACCATGTTTCTGCAGCATATCTCTGCACAACCCTGGTTGTGGGACAGTGTTACCAGCAGTAATCTCTGAATGAGCGCGGTGGGTGCTAGCTAGCTCCCACCCAACCTGTGTAGTGCGCAGTGCGGAGCTTCCAAGGCTAACTTTAGCTAACCAGTAGAAACTGAAGGGTGAGCAGTGGTTACTGTGTGTCTACATGTTAACACAACTAGCTGTCTGTCTGTCAACAAAGCCAACAGAAAACAAAATAAAAGGCAAGACAGTCACATCACAAAACATTCAAATTTCACCACCTCTAAATGAATAGCGCTATGAAATGAGTCAGAAAAAAAAGGAAAATGATGTGAAATATGAGAGGCCTTTTCTTTCATTTTTTAATTAACCAGTTAGCTACTGGTTAATGGGTGTTGGGCTATTGTTGGCAACATGAACTGAAACTGACATCCTTAATATTGATACTGTAACATCTTTCAGTTTTAAGAAATAAGCCTAATTATTTAGTACTTATAATGAAACCAGTGAGATTCATTGAGGTGCGAGTGAGTTATGACCAAATATATCTAAATAAAAAAAAAGAAAGAAAAGAGGCTTAGCTTTACATTTCAAAGCTACTCATGCACTGTAATGGCACATTGAACAGTACCAGACTGATGGGGCCTCTGTGGCGACGTGCCGCCAGGGGCAACATTAAACGTGCCTCAAGTCTCATGCAGCTCTGCACTCCCCATCACCTCTGCTATTCATAGCAATAATCCTTCTATTATCCTCCTGAGGGGAAGGAAAAACAACAACCTTTTAATTCTGAAAGACATGAAAGAATTTCTCACTTTCTTGTACCTCCCTGTGTTCCTCAATGATGGGTTGTGGAAGATCTCTTTAGGCCCTGCGGCAGGTGACGAACCGCAAAACCGTCGCAGCAGCAGTGTTGACTTTGAACCACCCAGTGCTGAGCAGTTAAAACAAAACTCACTTGTTTTGTTCTTGTACAAAAACCAGTCTCGCGGTGTGTTTTGTAATGAGGGCAACATTCTCGTGGTTGTGTGGAGTACTGGGAGTATGCGTGTGTGTTCTGCTCGGGGCATGTGTGGATGTGAGTGTGTGTTTTCAGGAGGGGAAGAGCAGTGTGTGGATGGTATGCAGGCCGTGTGCTGGGTTATGGGGTGTTGATTGCGGGGTGCTTAACCACGGCCTTTTGATGCTCTGCCTTGGGATCTGGCTCTAGTGTGTTCCACTGTGTTTGCATTCTCTCACTGTGTCTCTGTGTCTCTTGCTTTAGTTTTCCACTTTTTACTTTTCTTTTCCATCTCTGTGCTTTCTCTTTTTTGGTCTCTCTTTCACTGAGTTCCCTGGTTACACATGTGCATTTATATCTGCAGTTATTTACAGCAGTTATTTCCCAACATGTTGTGTCAGATGCACCCCCACAGTCCTGCCAGATTAACTCAAGTACCCCTTTATTGACTAAATAATTCAATATTGATATTGAAGTGATATTGTAGCCAGCTATTGGTGCTTTCACAAAATTTTTACACAATAAGATTTCTGATAAATAATCATCAGTAATGTGGATATAGTGACTGTGTGGGTAAAGGCAAGTAATAAAGGCACTTTATGTGCATTGGTTGCTGTGTTAACAGTGTAGGCCTTAAAACTATGTGGCTACACTGGTGACTTGACTTTCCAACGCCGAAGTGTTAGAACTGGAGGTGCATCATTTTTCCTTGCTAACAATTGCACTGTGAAAACGCATTGCAGAACTCCTCTGTCAGGTCGCTGCCCAATCTGTACCAGAAACCCAATTTGTTCTACATGTGTGAAGATGTCTGGGTTAGGCATTAAAATCGAATGGTTATGGACAGGACAGCCCATTGGTCAGGGGATAGGCCCTGAACAAATCAGGTTTCGATGCAGATCGGGTAGTGACATGTGGCACCAGACAAACTTAGCATTATGTACCCTTCTGTCGCTCTGGATTTGACGTCATCATTGTGTGTCACGTTGTGGTGCAAAAGATTTTGAGATCCGATTTCAGTGGTTCGAGCCGCCAGACTGACACACGTCTGTAGAAATAAGATAACAGTTGCATTTCAGACCTCTTCCCAAATGTGGTTTGGATCTGATTTGCAACAAGCACGTTTCATGTGGTTCTTCGCTGTCCAGACTTTCATCTGGATACAATGTGGATACGCCGAAAACAGATTTGTGATGGCAGTCTGAACAACAGTGGCAGAAGCTGGCTGTTTCAGCCATTTCTTAATTATTTTAGTGAACAATTTTAATGACTTTTTGCTAAGTATTTCAGATTTTCTTCTTATTTACAAACCAATTTTCAACATGTTTTCACAACAGTCATCAGGTGTTGCACTCAATATATACATAAAAATAAAATAATGTTTGTTGAGGTATTTCACAGTCTCCCTACATGACTGGCAATTGAAGAAGTACCCTCTGTGGTCGGAGAACCCCCCAGTAGAAACCACTGGTTCACAGTGTATACCACACTGCATGTGTTTGTCAGTGAGACTGTGTGGTGTCCTTGGTGTGTCAAGTGTGTCTGATGAAGCACACTGGAGTGTGTGTGTGTGGCAGCACGACGCCCTCGCTCTGTCCTCCACATTGGATTGTTTTAATTTGTCCTCTCTGCTCCACCGGCTCTTGTTTAACAGCTGCTTCTTACAGAACAGGGCAGAGCTGTTTCTTGTGGGCGTGTGTTTGCCAGACCTACTTCAGATCATATTCTTAGCATTCATCTTAAAACGCTCAGAGTACCAGACGCCACAGAATAACTGTGTAAATGTGCCTCTAAGTTTAGAGCCAGAATTTCCTTTAATGTCAACCACTTTTAAATAGGTACACATAAGACCGACAGTTCAACATTTGATACATATTAATGATACATGATAAATTTCTGGTTCTTGGATGTGACTTCATAGGGATCATGTCTGTTCAGTGGACGAGGTGATTGGTGATTTTTCTTTGGAACTACTAGTTCAGAGTATTTAAAAGGTAATTAAATGCATTACATTGTGGTTCAAAATTCAGCTGACACTAGTGGAATTACTATTTTATGGCAAATTTTTTATGGAAACCTACTTTCAGATCCATCTGGTTGGCAAAGTACATTTAAACAAATATTAAAACTGATTTGCAGCCGTGTGATCTAAGTTTGGTGTGCCACAGGACAGTTTTGTGTCAGAATAAACAGACTGGATTTAGTGTATGAGATTGTGCGGAGCATGACTGTCCATCTTAAATATGTACATACAAAACAGCAAATGCATATTATTAAACATGGCAGATTGTGCTCCATTGCTTTGTTATGTATACAACACTGTATAGGCATAAACAATAGTTTTTAGCTGCCAGCAGGTCTAAAATGACTGAACTTGTATACAAAAATATTAAAAATGGTAATAAGTTAATATGTAACTAGCTGTGGTCATTTTTAAAAACGTGTCTCCGATGCATATATGTGTACAATTACTCACTCAAAGGATTTTAAACCCCTGTTATTTGCATATGTGTGTGTGTGTGTGTAAGGAGTGGAAGTCAGGCCCTGCAGCAGCTTCCGGCCCGCTGGCTGTCTGAGGTTCTGGAGGAGGTTAAATCCAGTGACCCTTCGTCCAAGCTGTGTGCCACACGACGCAGCGCTGGAATACCCTTCTACATCCAGGTGTGTAAGCATGGTTATCGACATTGGGCTAAGTCTGTATAAAAGAAGTAGATGAAGCCATCAAGTCTACAAAGTGAAGCCAATGTGCAAGTGGCTCAAACCTGCATTCTTTCTAATGGACAGCAGGGGGCGACTTGACTGGTTGTGAAAAGAGGTTTGATTGTATACAAGTCTATGAGAAAATGACCCTACATCTCAGGTGATTTATTCCATCAGTAAACATTTTACTAACGGGTTTATGGTCTAAGTTGCTAGTTTCGAATCTTCTTCAATACAGCATGGTGTTCATTTTGCAAATTATGGTCCCATTTAGAGTAAAACGGACAATAACACAGGGTATGCGTTAGGGTGTGGTTACCTTGTGATTGACAAGTCGCTACCAGGGCAACCTATCTATCAGGATAAAGGTGTGGCAATACAGCAATCACAATATATTTGTCAAATCCACCCCTTGCTCCTTTACAGCTCCACCCTTTGCTCCAAATATGGTTACCTCAGGCCCCAAAAATCCAAGATGGTGATGGCCAAAATGCCAAACTCGAAACTTCAAAATGGTCGTTCACAAACCAATGGGTGATATCATGATGGCTTCGTCCACTTCTTTTATACAGTCTATGGATTAGAAGTATTAACATGGTACTAGTGTTTCAGTCATGTTCATGTTTGATGCTGGACATGATTTCAAGAGGTGGCAAGAGGCTGTTGCTTTGAATTTAAGCACTTCAGAAGGCAGAAGATGCAGACTTATGTCAGTAAACAGCACTGATTTAGTTTCTTCAGAGTGTGGTAGAGAGATGGTCAAATTAGTTTACCCATCGTTACTGAATCCAGTCCTCTGTGGACACAGTGATACTTTGCTGCTGTTTGTGATCCTTTTTCTTAAACATCACTTTAAGACAGTTTGTTGTATCTGACACAAGACTGTTGGTGAGGCAATATAGGATTTTTTTTTCAGTTGTTGCTGCTTTATGTAAATTCTACTGTGATTTGCTGGATTAAGGTAAATTAAACTATGTGACTGCATTAGCATCATCAGTTCTGAAGATCAGAAATAAGGACCATTTGGCACAACACAAATTCTGATCCACTCTGAACCGTAACATGAGGTCATGTGACAGCTGAGGTTAGAATTTGGTCAAATTGAAGGTTGTGATATGGAATGTGTTGCATGGACATGGCGAGGGTTATGGTTAGTGAATGAATGTTGGACAGTTTTCAGAGGTTTAGTAATAGAAACCCTGTGAGTGTGTGTGTGTGTGTGTGTGTGTGTGTGTGTGTGTGTGTGTGTGTGTGTTTGTTTTTGTTCCTGTTTACTCCTAAAAGTAGTGCAATCAGCAGTTCTTGGCTTGCCACTGGAGCACTCATGCTGGAAGAACATTGAGTTTCTTAATCCATCTGTCTTTTTTTGTTCAGTGACACACATAAAGGCTACACACACACACTCACACACACACACACACACACACACACACACACACACACACGTTGTCCTTTGGTTGACCCTCGTAGTACTCACCAGTCCCACACACCTCTAACAATGTGTTGTAATTGTTGACTAACCCACCTTAACACTTGACTGACTCAGTCTGTTATTCATCCACGACTCGCCTCCCCATTTCCTCTGATTACTGATATTAAACTAGACATGACAGAGTTCATGTTTATCATAGCAGTAATTTCAGAGCTGGGGCTGCTCTTTTTTGTGGTTATGGGTACGAGTCGCATGACTGCACTGCTGACATAATTAACTCTCCTCTGTTTTATACATTTGTATGCTAGGCTCAATTTAGCAAGATTTGATTTGATTCTCAATTTTCATTTTGAAAATAGTCCCAGGTTTGGAAAGTTCTTACTTTGACTTTCTGAAACTGGCATTCAAGGCAGAGACATGCTTATCAATGATTATTTATGGGACTTTATGGAAATTATATGTTAAATACCATGAGCAACTATGTTACACAGCGAGGATATGAGTAGTAAAGCAGAGCAGAGTATGGTAGGAAACATATGGATGCCTTAAGATGAGGATGAAGGGAGACAGATGCAATATGATATAGGAGAGAGAGGGAGAGCCCGGCAGATTGGAGGAAGTCTGGGGAGAAGCAGAAGTCGACACCTTGGCAGAGCTTTGGGCTGCATTCTTTCACATAGAAAGACAGAGTCAGATCCGGGAAGGCTGGCTCCTGCGCCCGCCTCATGCTGGTCTGGATCGACCTGGGACAGACTTCAGAGACCGGGCTAGCCCTCCTCTTCCTCTTAACCTTCCTCCACCCCAACCCCCCCAAGAGTTCATAAGAGCCAGACTGTGCCTCCTTCCCCTCTTCCTGCTCTCCTCCCTACCTCCATCCTCCATCTCTCCATCCCTCCCAGGCCTGACTCTTTACCATAAGCCAGGCCAGACACACAGCTGGCTTCCATCAGCTTGCACAGAAAGATAACTCCTTTCTCACACAGCAGCCAAGTGCTGTCACCTCCTTGCTCCCACATTCCCAACTCCCAGTCCTGGCCCATACAAATGATGTCATTTGGTGAAGCTATCAGTACAGACAAACTTATGTAATGGTATAGCTGTGTCTTCATGTGATAAAATACCACTGTAATCAGTGATAGGTATAATGAAGTTCACTTTAGAGGTCTACTACAACAACTTTTCCACAAAACAAATCAGAACTAACTTATTGAAATAAAGTGACTGATGTTAAGCTAAATTCCTGAATTGACGGTACATGCCGCCTGTTATGTAATGCAGGAACAAATGCATCAGTTGTCTTTATACCATGGTCTGCTTGAAAACTCAGTGTTGATTGGCTGCAGGATGTCCATTAATTCCTGATATAGGACACCTACTAAGTTCCAGTGAGACTTTCTATTCACTGTTTTAAATTGATGACCTGGCTACATAGTGTCAGTCTGTGTCTAATATTAGTAACCGTAGTAACATTGATTCAGTCAAAGCCTCCCTTTACAATTTGTTTCCAGTGTAGTTCGTCAGTGCCTCATCCTCCGAACACCACAGGATGAAGACTGTAACACACAAGCTGCAATAAGTATACCGGCCCTCTGAACTAAGTAATATTTTGTATCACATCTGCGATCATCTCACATCCAGTTAGTTATTCAACTAATTGGATGTGTACAAGTTATTCACTTGTTTGTAAAAATTGACGGACAGTGAATGTTGAAAGATGTTATAGTGGACACTGTGAGCACCCAGGGGAATGTTCTGAGTATATGGGTACATTTTCTGATTCAGAACTTAGAATACTACAATAGTATAAAGCTAATTTGGGTATAAACAAAGAAAACAAACACTCTGTGGTTCCACATTGTTTTCCTTTATTGTTATTATTATTTTGAATTCCAAATGCTTGCTTTGGCAATATGTACAGTGTTACCGCATGCCAATAAAGCCATTTGAATTGAAATTGAATTGAATTGAGAGAGAGAGAGAGAGCTCATGTTCACAAATGTTGATTGAACTTTCCTAGGCCCCTGAAAATAACATACTGGAACTTTTTAATTTAAGTGGTGTTCCACTTTAAACATACTGTCAAATTATATTTACTGTTTGTCAACTGACGCAGTGTTATTGACTTTGACTCTTGCTAGCATAACGCTAGCTCTCTGGCTCCTAGCCAAACCAAAGGGTTCTATAAACTGACCGGACCAAAAATACCTCCTTTTGCCAAGTCCTATACAAGGTTCCTCCTGTTTACTAGAGTAGTAAACAGCATTTCCATGGAATGGTAATGATTTTTACAGGCATTAGACAAACCTTTAGGTGTTATCAGGGGAACTGAGTTATGGCTGGTGATAAAATTTTGTTTGCAAAGTGAAATATTTATGAATGATATATTTCTTTCCTTGTCGGGCATAATCCCTTACTAATGTGCCAAATTGTACACCATACAGTAGTGTAATGACTTTTAACAATGTGCGGATGATATACAGCCACCTCTCATTTGTTACTTTGTTCATAAGAACTTAAATAGAATGACAGCATTATACCTTCAGAAAATATATTTCTGACCTCCACAATGAGAAAGTGAGCAAATATACATATTCTTACAATATGAATATCATGATTGCATCGGATACAGGAATTTTGAGACTTAATTTCTACTGATAACTATTCCACATACTGTTATTGAAGCTTTGGTTCACAGTGGCTGGGTACCAACCGCTGCCTAAAATGACATAATTTGAAGCAGCATCGGCTGGGGCTGAAGACTACAAGTTTGAAAACGAAAATAATCTGAATCACCCAAATGTCCGACTGAACAGTCAGTTTGCATTGTGGGTAATGTAGGCACCAGATTTTGACAAGGAAAAAGAATGGCTAGAGTAAAAAGATGATATCTTTATCCTTTGTAATTTCGACAGTGTTATAAGAGTGCTGTGCTAAATTGATGGAGTACTCTTTTAACAAAATCAAAACGCAGTGAAGACACAGGGATCATATTAGTATGTCTGACAGGTGCATGTGCTGTAAACACACACAATGACCTGTGTTTTGATGCCTTTCTTTTCTACCTGCTGCAAGTCAGTTTTGTTTTGACGCTTTTTATTTTGCCTCCACAGGCTCTGCTCTCCTCTGAGCCCAAGTCGTCCAGTTGCAGTCTGTTGAAAATGACCGTGAGAGAACTGATCGCGTTGGCCATGCCCTCTGCTGACAGGAACACTGACAGCTCCACCGTCCCTCAGGTACGATCACCCAGTAACTTCATGCCTAAATCCTATATGTAGTCAGATCTTTCTTAGAAGATTTATTTTCTCGACAAACTGGGCTTTAATCCGAAATACACTGGTCACCTTCCCATAAAATCCACTTTATAAATTCAAATAAAGTGGGGTTTTCAAGGCTGGAGGCAGTCAGTGTAGTATTGACCCATTCTGAAAATGAAACAACATACATCATACCCATCATAACAGTGGATGGCACTGATGAGGCAGGCTCTAGAAATTGCAGCAGCCACATGATGCTTTTTCAGGTCAGGTGATATTTGAAAAAAATTCTTAATGTCATTCTGTTAAATGGCTAAATGTTATCAGTTTACCTCGCCTGCAGGTCCATGCTCTGAACATCCTCAGGGCGCTATACAGGGACACTCGTCTGGGAGAAAACATCATCCCCTTCGTATCAGATGGGATGCAGGCTGCTGTACTGGGCTTCACCTCTCCTGTGTGGGCAGTGAGTTTCCATTTCCGTCTTTCTATTTGTCTTTGTTGTTTGAATTCAGCCAGTATCCTTGTTTATCACTCCAACACCTTCCCAGGGAGGTGTTTTTGATATTTGACCACCCCATTTATATCAATGTAGGTAGACAAGATCAGTGTTTCTCAGATGGGTACACATACCCCTAGGGGGACCTTGAAGTACTACAGGGGATATGTGGGATATTTTTCGGGAAAAATATCAGTCATGCATATTCCTAAAATAATTCTATCACTAAATTGTGTGCAACTTATCAAAAAGATGCAGTTTCAATGCAACTACAATGCCATCAGTGTTATTGCATGATGGCAAAACAGTTGGCCTTGAATTTAGTGACGGATTCTAAACATTTGAAATGCACTATTTAAGTGTTTGTCAGGTACAAGGTTATTGTCTAGTATATCAGACAAACTTTTTCTACAAAAATGTTTTGCGCTAGTCAGGGGGTACTTGGCAGAGAAAATATTTCAAATGAGGTACATTATTAAAAAGATGTTTGAGAACCACTGGACAAGACAGACAAGACGCACTTACCCATTTGCAAATCTCTCTCTGTCTTACACTCTCCTTCATTCTGTTTTTATTTTGTTTCCCAGGTTAGGAACTCCTCCACTCTTCTCTTCAGCACTCTGATCACAAGGATCTTTGGCGTGAAGAAGGGGAAGGACGAGCACTCTAAAAAGAACAGGTCTGCTGTGTCTCACTCTCCAACACTGCTCCACCAGTTCAAGTTTACTGTCATGTGCATCAGTGCAGAATGAAATGCTGACATTTAAATGGGAATCACAAGTCAGTGGTTATCAGTCATGTATGTGCAAAGACAGTCCAAAAGTTGCAGTTATTAGTGCGAAAAAAGTTCTTAGCAACACACAAATACGGCAGTTTCACTATGAAAGATAAAAGTTTAATTGTAAAAACTGCAAGTCATCTTATACTTAACTGTAATTATCCGAACTGATAGTCGATACTTTTTGTTTTAAGAATTGAATTATTTAGACAATAAGCTACAGTGTCTTGCGTAGAAGTTATTTTATCAAAATTTTTTGTAGTACATCAACATTCAACAAACTGAAGGATGAAGTGTTCCTCTAAGTGCTAAATAAAGTCCTTAAAAGCCCTCTTGGATCAGCTGGAAAATGCCTCATCACAAAGCTGGAAATAGGGCTGTTATTCTGACCCCATGAAAGGTTGACTTTTTAGAGATGTGTGGTTTTCACAGGATAGTCACGCTACAAACATATGATGATCTTACAGGATATGATGCACTGTTGTAGATTAAACTACCCAACAGCATATTAAGGAGTTAAAATGAGCACAGCCTTGAACATCTACAACAGTAAAATGCAGCATACACATTCATGCAACAGTATTTATCCAAAAATATGATTTGGAAACACTGACAAGGAACATTTTACTGCACCGCCACTACTATTAATTTTCATAATTTACATAATTTTGAAATAATACTTACATACTTTAACTCAAGCAAGGTTTGAATATAGGATATTTACTTGCAGTGGAGTATTTTTAGTGAGTGATATCAGTACTTTTACTTAAGTCAAGCATCTGAATACTTTTTCCACCACTGGTTAGAACCAAGGTAAAAACGAAGCATGTGTATAAACAGTGGTTGTTTTACACCACCGGGGGACACTGTTGTAACACCACTCTGGCTGAAATGCAGGTTTCACTCTACTGAAACCCACTGCTGGTCATTACTGGTGAAGGTGCAGGTCTCTGCTGCTGCTCCAACAATAAAGAAAAGACACTGGAGGCAAAAAGGGCCGCTTTACATTTAAATATAACAGAAACAGACAATATACAATTCATTATTATTAATGCTAAGTACATGCTAAAAACACCTGGGACCATCCCAAGGAATGCATGAAATGATACAATGCATTCTACCCAGTTTCATACCTGTGGGCTGCAATTGATAAGGCTCCAAGTATAACACAGCAACATTTTTGTGGCCGGAAATGTTAACAGATGACACATCTATGAACAGCATTGTTTCGAATACAAAAATGTGCTTTGTTGCACAGTTTGGAAATGCTCTTGTTGGGCTGGAAAAATGAGTTGAAACAGCATTTAGACCATTTGGTATTTAAAGTGTATTAAAACCCAAGGTGATGCTGGTTTTGGTTATATTTATTACATATTCATAGTCAGGCTTTGTCACCACTACAGTAGAGCTGTCAGTTTGAAGACTGAGATAAAGACCGCCATGCCTTCGAGTAGCTATTTAAACAGATTGTTGTAAAGTGTGTGTAAAGAAATTCTTGTGTTTGTTGTTGCTTAGTTAATGATTTCAGCCAGAACAAGGACAAGAGATAAACAGGATTCACTCTATATTGGCTACACAATGTATTTTATGGTTAAAAAAAATCACTGAAATGCCACAGTTACCATCAACAACAACACGGGTGGTGATATACTCACATTTCTAAGCAAAACTCTTAAGATTATAAGAAACTTATGTAGCCAAAAGCAAGTAACCTAAAACGTTATCTCTGTCACGCCACTCATCATTTTGTTCGAGGAGCTGTCAGTTGGTGGATATCTCATTTTGGTGGATAAACAACCACCACACACTTCGTCAAAATGGGGTTGAGTTGTGCAAATGAGGAATCTGTTCAGAGGTTTAACTGTCTCAGTTTTAGTTGGAAGGTTATCAGTTGTAAGTCCGGCTTTGCTGTCAAGAAGGGTGTGAAAAATTGTGGATTTTCTCTGGAGAGGAGTCTTAAATTATAACAGGCTCCCAGTGCCATGTCAAACAGCCATCCAAGTATTTTGAAACCTTGATAATGAAAATTATAGCAATCTGGGTCAAGTGTTATATTTTGTGAACTGATGTATCCAACTTAGATGCAGGACATGTGGAGTTAAGCCCTTGGGATGTTGCAACAGGTTCCATGGGATTATATAATCACAGGAAAATATTTGATGCTGCAGCAGAGACACTTCTTTCCAGAAATGCACTTCTTATTTGCCGGTATGACAAGATGGAATCGCTCTTATCTTTGTTTCTCTATTGTTTCTTTGTACAAGAAGGAAGGTTTGTTTTTTAGACACTCAGGAAATGTGTGTCCACATGTTGTGACACATTGACATTCATAGACTGATAGTAAGAAAAAAACACTTAAAACAACTATCACCCAAATGCTGTCTTCAGAGAGCTTGACTCTGACCTCTTTTTTTTGGCATGACAGAGCACAAGCATGCTGTGTGTTTGTCCTGTGCTTTACAGCAATCAACTCAGTGTTTAGTGTTTATTAGCAGGTGTTAGCATGCTAACAAGCTAAGCTTGAATGGTGAACATTTCAAAACATCAGCACATTAGCATTGTCACTACGATCATGTTAGCATGCTAATGTTAGCATTTAACTCATATCACTGCTGTGCTGTACAGCCACGCCGAGGCACTAGTGTGGCTGTAGACTCTTACACCACATTCATCTCATATGGGAAGGTTGGTAGAGAATCGGTGCTTGAATTCAGCCAGCACTATAGACTGTATGAAATAATGTACATAGCCACAATGACATCACACATTGGTTTGTGGACTCTTATTTGGAAGCCTTAAGTTCAGCATTTCGGCCATCACCATCTTGGTTTTTTGGAGCCAGAAGTGACCATATTTAGACGACAAGGTGGAGCTGTGGAGGAGCGAGGACAGTACTCACCAGCATGCATCGCTGGCACTCATTTTATTTGTTGGTTTACCGTGACTTTTTTGAATTCCTAATAATTCCTGACAATGACTGATAATTGAGTAAAGGACAATCTCTGACTGCATACAGACACAAAATCAGGCATTTCTACTGTATCACTGTGGTACTGGTATCAAAGTATCACACATGAACCATGTGGCTGGGGAAGACTGAAAGGGCATAACGGTATTGAACATTAATTTATAAAGGTATTGCAAATGCTCAGGTTTAGGCAAGGTTGCAAAACAGTTATTAGACTGGTCTACAAAACAAACATTGGTTTAACAAAAAATAAAGTGATTAAAACGTGTCAGAATTGTTATTATAATTCAAATACACATCAAATTGCATTGACATCTACAGGATCTCTAGGATCTTAAGTTTTCTATACCCCCAAAAAAGGGTGTGGTGAAAAAGGGGCATGGTGTTGACATTTTGCCAAGTACCTGCATGGGCTGGTCTAGTCCATTGATTTCCAACTGGTTCAGCACAGGTTCTAGTTTTCTCCTTGATCATTAGTTCAAGGTCCATACAGTTCAATACATTTAGCATCACACTTACGTTTGGCCATGTTGTTGAGCTAGTTTGCCGTTTCTGTCTGTTCACTCACTCTACAGCAGGAAACGGCACTTTAAAATAAAGGTTTTGTGCCGTAAATTCATTGTGCTGAAAAATGAAGTGTATTTTTGACAAACTTGACATGTTTGCGAGTCACTTGCAGTCCATTCAGAATGGAACCATCACCCACTTTTGGACTGCGACCCACCAGTTGGGAACCACTGGTCTAGTCTATACCAGAACAATTAGAAAAATCCAAGTTTTCCACGTAAGACATGATGGCGTCATTTGCCTTGTTATGCTAAGCTAGGCCAACCCAACCCTGTCCCTGCTCCAGCTCTGTATTTTATGGTAACTAAAATACTGAACATGCTAAACATCAGCAGGCATTGTTATTGCCACTATTAGCATTTTAGCATGCGAGCATAAGCATTTATAGCCTCTCAGAGCCATTAGCAAGCTGTAGGCTGGAAGGGCCTGGACATATGCTGTGTTTTTGTGCTCTCTGATCCATTGTTGTCAAAGTAGATGTGTGGAAAAATGAATACACTTGTTTCTGAAACTTTATCCAAATGTTTCCTCATCTTTCACAGTATAAACGTGGTTCTTTATAAAGCGGGAATGATTTTACGCGGTATTGTTCCATTATTTGCAAAGGAATAGTAGTACCAGTGTCAGTAGTGTGGCAACAAGCAGGTTAAGAAAGAGAAAATGTTAAGATCAAATGGCTGCCTCGGACATTATTTCCTAGCAGTTCTTGCCAGTTGCATGGCATATTTTGCAAATCTCTGTTATAAATATGAGCCCTTCGTTCATTCGAAAATGGCTCTGAGGCTGCGTGCTGATGTTGCATTGACAAACCAATGTAGTGTTGCCTCTTATCATTGTAAGCTCTTTGGTAGCACCCAGCGTCGGACTTAACATTTTCCAGGCAGTAAAAGACGTTGCATGTGTTGCAGCCCTACATCTTGTTTAACTTGTCACCCCACTGTTATTTGGTAATGTAACAATTTTTAGTGGACTGTACACCAAGAAACCAAAGTATGTAAAACGTTTATATGATTGATATATTATTGGCCTCCCCAGTCGAACTGATACTGACATCCATCTAGTATTCAGAGCATGTTAAAACAAACATGAACAATAATGTACTATTTGGCTGTAGCACTATGTGATAGTCGTATTGAGGTCTATATTGAGCTTGGAGGTGATTTGTTAACCCTCAGATAATCAAGGGTATAGTTTCACAGGGCTCGGGCTGTGTTCCAGGAAGCTCTGTCTGGTTCCCTTTACTGTATTTCTATTGGCTGCTTCTCTGAAGGCCTTTGAATAACCAGCCAAGGCTGCTCCTGTTTATCTGGTCTGTTTTCACTTGTGTTTTTACTCTGCCCTCCCTGGCTTTGTATAGCTGACAGTT